AGCTCTATTATGTTCTCTTCTTTATCCTGCTTGTTTCTTGTGTTAATTTCTTTGCACTGAAGTATTCTATGATTGTTGATTAATTAAAAATAAAGGTTACTTGCGTTAATTGCACATTCATGCTTAGTTAATTTATGGTGCGTGCATTGAGTCTCTTTATTGAATTCTTCTTTAATGAAGTTTTGCCCAGGAGTGCAAAAGGCTAAGTGTGGGGGAGTTGACAAACTCAATTATTTTTATATATTTTGGTATCTTTTATATGAGTTTTGTCAGCTTAATTGCTCTCTTTTTGCCTTAATTGATTTATTTTATTTTATTTTGAATTATTATTTTATAGGGGGGTAAAATGTCATATTTTGGTTTAATTGTGACTAATTGATTTTTAGGACAATTAATGCTACCTTATCCTTGAATTTTGCTTGCAGGTTCTTGGAAGATTCAAAAATATAAAAAAAAAAAGGAAAAAGAAAAAAAATAAAATAAATAATTAGGGGGGCAAAACGTTGCGTTTTGCCCCAACCTAATAATCATCTATTCTTATCTTCTCCAGGAGGCGCGGCGGAAACAAAAAAAACACAAACGCGCCGAATAAAAACAAAGAAGCACGAACAAGCTGGGGCGGCGAGGAGAAAACAGGGGACCGGCGCTGAGGTCCAGAGAGCCGAGCAACACGAGGACCGCTCATCATCTTCTCCGTTGAACCTTCCTGGTGGCAGGGGGCGCTCGACGGGGGAACCACCACGCACTGGACGGCGCTCGACGAGCTGAACACGGGAGACGCAAGCAGACGCCAGAACGGAACGAGAGGCGAGCTGAGGGCAGGACCAGTGACGACACGTTCCGACGAACCAGTGAACCAGAAGGAGCGAAACAGCGAAACAGAGGCTCACGGTGTCATCCTTAATCATCTTTTGCACTGTACCGTCGAGCTTCCATGGCAGGCCATAGCAGAACATTGACTGTAGCATTCCTTATGGCAATCCGTGGCTGAGGTTATCTGATTCTCCAATTCACAATAATGGCAGGAGCTTGGATCTTTAAGGGGAGTTCTAGTTGCTTTAATTTCTTACTCAATAATTATTTAACAATTCCTAGGTCTTAGGATAGTTTTTCTGATTGTTGGGATAATTGTATTGCTTAATCTGATTATATTTGGGGATTATTGTGACTGAATTATTGCTTAGTATTGACATTGGGCTGTTTATAGTTTTGATCTCAATTATAATGTTGTGGTTATGACATTTGTATTGATTTGGAATTAATATATTGTGATTTTCTAAGGTGGCTTAGAATTTTGGATCATATAGTCTCTTGCTAGCTTTAATTCTGTTATTTTGGATTTAAGAGTTCTAATTAAGCATTGGTTTTTAGCATCCTTAATCTCATTTTACTATTCTGGTTGCAGTTAGTAAGTTGGGATTTTAGGAAAATATTTTGTGGCAACTCGAGGTGGCTCGGTTGTTGGATCAAAAGCTTAATTATAATTCTTAATTCATTGTTTTTAACTCCCACATCTTTAGAGTGATGATTGCCTGCGTTGTTGAATTGGAGGATTGATTTTTATCAGTGTTATTTGTGTGTCTCATTTTCATTTCTTTAATCTCCATTCATTTTAATCACTTTTATATAAAAACAAAAAATTAAAAAGTATTTTAATTTCAATTTGATTCGTAGTATTTAATTAACAGCTTTTCAAAATCAAAAATCTCTTTTTATAGTTTAGGTTACTTGCATTCATTTACTAGGGTTTAATTTCGTTTTCGGCTCCTCAAAGTGAAACGACCCGAGTTGTGCACTATATTGCATTAATTCGGTTAATTTTTGAAGTAACCCCAAAGCGACAATTAAGGGCAGTTAAACTTCACCTTGGCTTTCTAACATTACAACCCTTCAAGTCCCCTTGATCACAAGTCTAAGGCATGCTAGTGGTAGAGACATTAGAATCTCTACAAGCTTATGGTAGGTGCTAATCTAGGTGGATTGAGTGAAATTTTTCCCATTTGAGAGATGAGTGAAATACTTGTACCCTATGTGAGCTCTATTATGTTTCTCTTCCTTTACCCTGCTATGTTTCTTGTGTTAATTTCTTCACACTAAAGTATTTTATAATTGTTGATCGATTAGGATAAAGGTTGCTTGAGTCAATTGCACAATCATGCTTAGTCGATTTTATGTTTGCTTGCATTGAGTCGCTTTGTTGGATTCTACTTTACTGATATTTTGCCCAGGAGTGCAAAAGGCTAAGTGTGAGGGAGTTGACAAAATCAATTATTTTTATATATTTTGATATCTTTTATATGGGTTTTGTCGACTTAATTAGTTCTTTTGGTCTTAATTGATTGATAATTGATTTAATATATTTTATTTTGAATTATTATTTTATAGGGGCAAAATTGTCATATTTTGGTTTAATTGTGATTAATTGATTTTGAAGGACAATTAATACTACCTTGTTCTTGAATTTTGACTGCAGGTTTTTGGAAGGCATACAAATAAAAAACAAAAGAAAAGAAAAAAAAAGAAGAAAATAAATTAAATAAATAAATAAAGAAAAAATAAAACAATAAAATAATAAAAAGAGGGAGAAAAACGTAACGTTTTGCCCCCCACCTAATACACTAATATTCAATTATTCATCATCATCATCTTCGAAAAAAGGGGGCATTGGACGAAAGGGTTTTAGCGGTAGAGTTTGGCAAAAGAAACAAAGTGGGAGCTGGACACACGTTAGCTTGACGGCATAGAGAGATTCAGCGACAGCAAACCAGAGGGAGAACACGAGATGACCAGGGGAGCTTGACGCACCATCCATCATCTTCTTCTTCTCCTTCTTGACGTGAGCAGAGTGCCAGCAGCGTGAAGAATTCAGCGTGAACAGTGTTCTTCCATGGAAACTTGTAATAGAGTATTGATTGTGGCATTTTTTATGGCAAACTGTGGCTAGAGCTTAATAATTCTCTAATTCAACAACAATGGTAGGAGCTCAGATCATCAAAGGGGAGTTTTAGTTACTATAATTTCCTGTCCAATAGTTATTTAACAATTCCCAGGTCTTAGGATAGTTATTCTGATTATTGGAAAATTTTTATCCTTAAATTTGATTATATTTAGAGATTATTGTGGCTGGATTACTATTTAGCATTTGACATTGAGCTATTTATAGCTTTAATTTCAATTATAATGTTGTGGTTATGACATTTGCATTGACTTTGGAGTTAATATATTGTGATTTTCTGAAGTAGCTTGGACTCTTGAATCGTAATATCTCTTGCGAGCTTTAATTCTGTTATTTTGGATTTAAAAGTTTTAATTAAGTATTGGTTTTTAGCATCCTTAATTCCATTTTACTATTCTGGTTACAGTTAGTAATTTAGGATCTTGGAAAATATTTTGTGACAATTCGAGATGGCTCGATTGTTGGATTAAAAGCTTAATTATAATTCTTAATTTATTGTTTTAACTTCCGCATCTTTTGGAGTGAGGATTGCCTGCATTGTTGAATTGGAGGATTGATTATTATCATTATTTATTCGCATATGCCATTTTCATTTCTTTCATCTTCATTCATTTTAATCATTTTTATATAAAAATAAAAAAGTATTTTAATTTCAATTTAATTCATAGTATTTATTTAGCAATTATCAAATCAAAAAAATATTTTTTTATAGTTTAGGTTAATTGTATTTACTTGCTAGGATTTAATTTCGTTTTTGGCTCCTCAAAGTGAATACGACCCAGATTGTGCACCATATTGCATTAATTCCGTTAATTTTTAGAGTAACCCCAAAGCGACAAATTAAGAGCATTATTTCAAGGACAATGTTAGCGTAGCAAAACTATTCACTTGCAGCGTAATCCAAAAAATTATATATATTTGTTTGACAAAATGTTATATATGTAAATGGATACTATATGTGTGTTTGTGTATAACACCTTAGTTTGCTTGTTTGATCAAGGAGAACTATACATAGTCTAATCTTGGGCTTTGTCTTTGGCTGGATAAATCTTGGGTACCAGAGGGCTTTTGTGGGCTAGATTATGAACTTTAAGTTCAGTCTTTGGGTTCAGTCAGCAGAAGAAAGATTGCCGAAGCTACATAAGAGGTTACACCTCATAATTACTTGTACAACTGTATTGTGAATGTTTGTATTGGTTAATGTTCATGATTTAGGAATGTGCAACATGACATCCCATGTAAGACTACATACACTATCTCCAATTCTTAATATAAGAGTTAAATAACTAATTTGGGGAGATAAAGCACAATAGTTAAGTTGGTTAATTGTAATAAATATAAGTTGACTTTTCTAAATAACCGAGTATAATATGTGCATTAAAACCATCACTTAGTGAGAACTCTTTACAGTTAATAGGGATATTTTAGAGGAAAAAATATAAACTTGGAAGATAAAGTAAACTGAAGTCTTGTATCTAAAACAAAACCCATCCTCTAACTAGCTCTTATATTAAGGACTGGAGGTTATATTACATAAATAAATACATACATATATATGGTGTGATTGTCGTTTGCATGTATAATCATCACCACACTATAGGACTGATGCCATTGCCCAACCGCCGTCAATGATTTAGCGGCCACTGCCTGTTACAGTTAGTCAACAGCCCAAACCATTATCCCTCTAATGTCATCTCCTGTGCTTAGCTATGGGACTGTTTTTTTTATTATTATCCTAAGCCTTCGAGATTAAGTATTCGAAGGGCACATTCACCAAAAAGCCTCTCTCATTAGGAGCTTCAGGGATAAACCTGTTTCTTCGTCTTCTTCTTCCTCCCACTATTCTTCTGTGAGTTCCTCCGGCTTGGCGACCATACAAACACTGTTTATTTCGATTTTGTTTTTTTTTTTTTAAGTTATATGTGTGGTTTTGGAACAAATTATTCTCCGATTCCTTTAAGAATGGTGCTTTTGTTTTCTTTTGATGAATTTCCGTAACTTTACAGATTTGTTGGAGGGGAAGTAGCCAAGAAACCCTAGAGCAATGGGGAAAAGGAAGATTGCGATTGAGAGGATTGATGATATACCGAACAGGCAAGTCACTTTCTCAAAGAGACGAAGTGGTTTGGTCAAGAAGGCAAGGGAGCTTGCCATCCTCTGTGACGTACAAGTTGGGGTCATCGTCTTCTCGAGCACTGATAAGCTCTACGAATATGGAAGCTCCAGGTACATTCATACATACATACACACACATATTGTTCCCAGCTTCATTTACTTTGTTTTCTCAGAAGTCTAGCTCACAGCATTTTCTCTGCGCTTTTCGCTTTTGATCTATACGATATGCCTTTAGATCTTGTTTCTTTGTAAAAAACTTTCTATGTTTTTGCATATGTTCAAGTGTATCATGCGATATATCTTGTAATTGAGTCTTTAGTTTTCCTCTAATATAAGACTGCTTTGGCTTGACACACACACTCATGTACGCTCGTGTATTTGAATTATGTTGTTTTCAGAATTATCTTCCCTGAATCTATATACTACTCCTGTCCTAAATGTAATATCCATTTTGTGGTGTAAATTATACTACAAAATGGATCTTACATTTAGGATCAGAGAGAAGTGTGTGTGTGTGTATATATATATCTATATATTCTGCGGTCCATGCCTTAAGTGACAAACTTGCCTTTTATTTTCATTCAACTCGATTTGTGTTCCTTGCTTGTGCTTCCAGCTTACAAAATCGAGTTATCTTCTATCAAAACTCCAGTTCCTGGTTTTCATGTTTGCTTTCTTGCCCAGACTCGAGTACTATCCTTTCAAAACTCGAGTTTTTTTGAACTTCTTGCGTCTCACGCTCTATTCAAACTTGAGTTTGTCCATTGTTTGTTCTGTCCAGCTTATGAATATCCATCCAACTCTAGTTCCTATGCTATAAACTCGAGTTTCCTTCTTGGCACAAATAGACTCTATTTTATTTCAGTTTTGACTTTTTGTTCTGCGTTTCTGCAATATCTCACAAATTACAAATTATTTTTATATGAAACTTGTTTCATATGAAAATAAAATAGACTCAATAATTTTTTTTTTTTCCAGTGACACCTATCACAATCTAAAAATGTTTTCCTATGAAGGAGTATTTTTTTAAAACTTTGACGCTTTAATTTCAAATACGGTAGAAAATCATTTTTCACTTGCACTCAATCTTTCGCATATATTTCACAACATAAAGAATTTTGAGATATACCTTATTGCATTAGAAACTAGATTCAAGGAGCTTTTCATAAATAGTTTTGTTTACATTGTAGGTGCACGTGTCGTAATAAGTAAAAATTGATTAAAAAAAATTGTCGTCTTTACAAGAATTTAGTACCAAAACCTGGTTAATTAATAATTATCACACTTTTACTTAATTTGAATAATATAAATATCAGGAATGAAGAGAAGCTGTTCTTAAAATTAGAAATCAGTAAAAACAACTAATTATTGACTTCAAGGATAAAATGGAGCCTAGAATTATTTATTCCCTTGTATTCCAAGAATACTCAATTCAATCATTATATTGGCTTGATTCTTCTTTCGTGCTCACCTAGAAACCAATATACAGATAGTACGCGCAACAATAATACTTTTCATGGACAAAAACTTGATTTAATTTTCATCTCATTGATTAAATTGTCTGCTTATGGCAGCCTGGAGTCAATAATTGGGCGCTACCATAAACAGAAAGAGGAACATCCGCTTATGAATGCAGCTTCAGAAGCCAAGGTACAAGACCAAGCACCTCATTCCTCTAATAGTTTTAATGTTTTTTCATATGCATGTCATATTTAGTTACTAGACATTTACAAATCATTCATATATATATAATAATTCCAATCGTCAGTGTATATATACTTGTCCAAGCAAGATTTTACTACAAAAAGAGAACGATAAATAAGATCAAGGAAAGATGGGAGAAGAGGAGAAAAACTGCATTCTATATACTGATTGTACACTTCCTCTCATATTAACAGACTAATACATAGTCTGCTTGCTTCCTGTGAATTGAATCCATGTGAAAGTCCTTTCGAATGCCTTGTTTCCAGAAATTAGAGGGTAAATGTACGGCAGATTGAGGCAATGATTTTTTTCCCCCCTACGAAAAGTAAATATGTCTATTATATATGTGGCCAATGCAAGTAAGTCGACTTAGAATCGTCTTTATGCTTATGAGCGTTAGAGATTCATTCCTTCTTCCTTACAATCATTATAACATTTTTATGCCCTTGGTAGTTTTGGCAAAGAGAAGCCACGGTCTTGAGGCAAGAACTTCAACAGTTGAGGGAAATGCACAGGTATAATGAGAAAATCAGATACTATGTGCCTCTGGCTTTTAATATAAGATTTAGTTTGTAGTTTAAATTGAACTACAAACTAGATCTTATATTAAGACTAAAGGTCGTACATTGGAACAAGAATTATTACATTCTGGTGACAAAATGTTGATATCAGCATGGAAAATGCAAATGAACAAGCAGCAGTTCAACAAGCGCTACTTTCTGGAAAATGCAGGCAATTGATGGGTGAACAACTTTCTGGTTTTGGCATTAACGAAATGAACGATTTGGAAAACCAACTGAAGATGAGTTTAAAACGTGTCCAGGTCAGAAAAGTATGATGGTTCAGTTCAACTAAAATCTTCATTCAATTTAACATATCACAATTTTACACGGCAAGTAGTGTACTTGATCATTAAATTGTCCGCAGGATCAAATCTTAACTGATGAGATTAAAGAGCTACAGCAAAAGGTAGTCAAGAAATTCTTTTTCTGATCTTGCCCGTTACGTTTGAAAAATATTCCCCCGAATTCTGACTAATTTATTGTTGCTAATGCAGGGAAATCAAGTTTGTCAAGAAAATGTTGAACTTTATGAAAGGATACAATTCATTAGTAAAGAAAATGCAGAGTTGAAAAAGGTATTTAAGTTTCCTCCATATAATTTGCTCCAGTCTCGAGTGTGTGTGTGTGTGTGTGCATATACAATCAACAAGCTAAGCTTGCCCTTAATTACCATCTATATATTGTGCCTGTGCTGTGTATGATTAAAAGTTTCTTTCATAGTCTAAATAACGTCTTATTTTTTAATTAACTAGATTTGTGAAGCAAGGGTTATAAATGATGAAAATGAGAGTTTCAATCCTCCATGCACTAGCAACCTGCAGTTGAGCCAGCCACAATCTCAATCGAGTGAGCCACCAACCAAAGCTATGGAGATGGGGTATATTATATTCCTCCAAACTCATGAATAAACATACAGCTTGAACACGCATAAACTTTCTTTGTTGATTCCTATGACAGACTTCAGCTACTTTAGCAAGATAGTTAGATAACAAACGCGTGAGGAATCATTTCTGTTATATATGGATCAGACATATTGGATATATCTCTATACATTATAGAATAAGAAAGCCATTTTCAAATGTACTATGGTCATCCGGAACCATGCTGTCACATCCGGCCTTTCTGAATAAAGGTTAGCCAAGGGCCGATTAAAATAGTAGGTACACTGGGTAACATCATATTGCTTCCATCCCCGGTTGGGGCAAAAACATGTGTATAGGAGCTATATTGACAATTCAGGAACCATTTTAATCCATTTCAAGCTCGAGAATTGTCAAATAACTAATTTTCTTATATTTATTGTATGGTTACTATTTATTTGGTAAACCCTCTATTCTTGTTAAAATTCAAATTATCATCACTAATTCTGAAAAAAATTGAAAGAGTGGTTCCAGTCTCTAATTAACACTAAAAAAAAGATGTGGATTAGTAACGGTTAAGAAGATGCATTAGTAGGGGGTGAACCTCTACTAAGAGCTAGCAGTTTGGCCAAGTGCTACCAAATTATGTGCTGCAAACAGTTTAGAAACGGTTATTGTGAACCACTATCAAACTTTGAATTTTTATTTAGTGATGAAATTACTGACAGATTAGTGATGGAATCTGTCAATGATAGAAGCCGCCGCCAATTGTTTTGTCCCTAACTAGATTAGTGGCGGAATTTCAATTTTATAACTAATTAGCAATGGATTACTGATAAAATTTTTATTGCTAATTTCTGACGAAATGTTACTACCACTAATTCACCACTAATCAACAACGAAATATACTGATAAAAATTTTTGATCAATTTGATAATTACCAATAGTATATTTTCATCACTAATTTAAAGTTCTTAATGCTTTTGAAAATGCCATTTGGAACACCTTAGAAGCTGCCACATAGTCCCTCTACCAGTCACCACGTACTGCTGCCACCTCACCCCCAACTGCCATGTGACCCTCTGGATTCACCACATCATCACCAGTCACCCCCCGGTCACTACCAACTCACCTCTGTTTGCCAGGTGCCCCCTCCCACCATCTGCCATGTCATCGCTACTACCATGTTTTGTCACCATGTCATTGTCCATCCATAGGAGCTTTATGTCTCAAATTCGTTTCATGTAGCGGATGAATTTGGGGGTGACTTTGTTGTGTTGCATGATAAAAATCCATATAAATGTTTTCGTTTCGTGTGGGCAACTCATCTGCACAAACGTAATCCAGGTACTCCCCAAAATCCTTCACAAACCAAAAGGTTAAAAAAATAGTGGAAAATATAGAGAAATAGCTTTGTAATCTAGATAGATTGTAACGGTTTCTCTGGTGACTACGTCAAAGTTTTGCATAGCTACGTTGGTTAAATGCAGAGAAGTCCTGTTATATATGGATAAATAACACGGCAACTTTTATCATGTAATGTATCTCTTTCTATAGGTTTGTAATTTATCTCTGCCTGCTTTTCTGTCGTAGGAAAGCAAAAATCCTAGTCATAAAAATGAGTTTAAAACAAATCACGAAGCATTAATAACTTACAATACTATTTATGGTTACAGATGTAATAATACCCTCTTGGTCCATTAGAATGTCCAAATGGGAAATTCCTAAGCTAGAAATGGAAAAACAGAAACAAAAGCGATTAAAAAAAACAGAGAGAGAGAGATGTCATATTAACCTGCTGGTTGTTCGCATATTAAAGGCGAAAGAGAAAATGGGACCTTTTTTTTCAATTTTATTTCTTAACCTTTCTATGAAGAGGGGAATATCATATTTTCATATAGTACTCGTATTACTAATTGTATTTAATTATTTTGCAGCTTAATCCCTTTGAAGTAAAAACTAAAAAACCTTGACTTGATAAAGAAGAGAAATGGCATACATATATAGCTTTTCAATACTATAAATATTAATTATATTTAAAATAGTCCGAGATTTTATATACGACATTAAAGGATTTTCATGTAAATAGTAAGAAATTATGCATGATGTATCAACAGGGCTAAGTCTAGTGGAAAATACTAGTCCCTCACAATATAATGGACCAAGATTCGAATTTCCACTGAAAGAGGTGCCTATATTTAGTTCTCAATAATATCTCCAATAGAATAGCCTCACTACAAAAAAACAGACTTTAGGCGACGACTTTCGGCGGCGACAAAAAAAGTCGCCGCTGAAAGTTCGCCATTGAAACCAAGACTTTAAGCGGCGACAAAAGTGTCGCCGCCGAAAGTAGACCTTCAGCGGCGACTTTTTTAGTCGCTGTCGAAAGTGGACTTTCAGCAGCGACTTTTTTTGTCGCCGCTGAAAGTATAATATAATAATATATATTTTATTTTATAATATTAATAAACAAATTCAGTCTAGCTCAGCGGCAAGAAGGTTGGACACGAAAGGAGACGGTCACGAGTTCGAACTTGGAAGAAGACACATTTAAGGTGAAAATATTTGGATGATGATGTGGCAAGGAAGAGTGATGTGGCAATGACGTGGAGGTGGCTAGTGATGATGTGGCGGTTGGCGGTGATGATGTGGCCGCCGATGGCGATGACGTGGAGTCGACAGTGATGACGTGGAGGTTGACGGTGATGACATGGTGGCCGGAGACGATGACGTGGCACCAGCGGTGATGATGTGGCATTGGTAAAGCCAATTCTTCTTAAGCATTACTTTATTTTGTCGCTGCTAAAAGGCTTTTCGGCGGCGACAAAAACTTCTAAAAGTCGCCGCTGAAAGTATCTTTTAGCGGCGACCTTTTTAGTCGCCACTGAAAGTTTTCAGCCACAGCTGCTACGGCAACGACTAGTCGCCGCAAAAAACTTTCAGCGGCGACTTTTGTACTTTCAGCGACGACTAAAATCAATTTTTTTGTACTGCCTCTAATAGAAGGTGATATCTATGCATAACAAAAAAGAAAAAGAAATTATGCATGGTGTAGCATAATAATTAATCTTGCATCAATATGAACTTTTTCAAGATGATTATGACTCCATTAGTTAACCAAATAAAAGTCTTGTAGTCTATGCCTTCAGTGACAACTCAGTGTCTTACTTTCATTCAACTCGATTTGTGTTCCTTGCTTGTGCTTCCAGTTTACAAAATCGAGTTATCTTCTATCAATACTCGGGTTCTTTTTTTCATGTTTGCTTTCTTCCCCAAATATTCTTTCAAAATTGTGTTTTTTATTTCTGCCTTTCCGCAATATCTCACAAATTACGAGTTATTTTGATATGAAACTTGTTTCATATGAAAATAGATTCAGTAATGCTTTTCAGTGACACCTATCACAATCTAAAAATGTTTTCCTAAGAAGGAAGCATGTTTTTTAAACTTTGATGCTTTAATTTCAAATATGGCAGAAACTCATTTTTCATCTTCCCCTTGTAGTCCAAGAATACTCAATCATTATATTTGCTTCTTACTAATAGATTATGCTAGCCAAAGATACTAAATTATCTATAAATGCTTTCTCAAGTTTCAAATAAGTGTTTAGTTCAATTAATGAAAAAATTTCATCTAAGAGATTCTAAAAATTTAATACGGTCTCTCTGACCCAAAATAAAATTAAATAAACAAGTAAAAATACCTTGTAGCCCTTAAAATTTGAAGAGAACATATGATAGACTTTGTCGTAAATTTTTATACGCAGAATTGTCATTAGTCTGTTCTTTGTCATAAACAACACACATATAAATGTTATTTTTGTATTATTTGCGGCAAATTTTCATTCATATATATATATATATATATTATTTTTTATTCATTGTTGTAAAAGACCATATGTTTAGTTGTTGTTTATCTATTTTTTGTCGTAAATTGTTATATGCATAGTTGTATCTTTTTTAATTCTTTGTTGTAATTTTAATTGTTGTATACAGAATTGTTATTTTTCTGGGGAGAATGACAAAAAAAAGAAGTTAAAAATTACTTTATTTGGTAATAATACTTTATTTGGTGTTGATAATATTGAAATAGCAAATGATAAGAAATTTTTGTTAACATTTCTTATTTGGCATTTACAAATTTTCAGCTTCTTTTTTGTCCCTTTTTTTTCATTTTTCTATTTTTTAGTGTAAATTTTTATGCGTTGACTTATACTTTTTCTACATTAAGGGTTAAATGATCTTTTTACTTGTTTATTTAATTTTATTTTGGATCTGAAATTTTAATAAGTCCACGTTTGTGGGACTTAGCTGAAATTTTCCCTTTCTTAATCTCTTAAGTAATTAACTAGACACCAATTTGTATTGCAATTCCTAGATGACTAGGTGCGTTTAATAGATATATTTCTATCTCATTGGCAAAACTATCCATTCAACTCACAAATTTCAAGTTCTCACACAATTAAAATCAAGTTCTACACTTAATCTAACATTCTCGAGCATCAATGAAGTGAACTTAATAATCTTATTCATGGCCAATTAACAGAGTAAAATTAGAATATCATATCATTAACTTCAAATATAAAGGAGAAATGAATACTTGATCGATACAAGAGTTCAAAATGATCCTAAAATCAAAACTTTAACTATATATCCATATTTACAAAACCATGAGAAAAATACATATAAACCAGCAACATGAGAAAGGAAAAGGAGAATCGAGAAGAAACCAATATATGAAGCCTCTTCCAAACTTCAAAACCCAACTCAATTTCCACCAAAATCCGTACCTAGCACAAAAAGATCTCCCAAATACAACCAGGAAGACCAAAATGGCAGCCAAATATGAGTTGAGACCTTGTATCCTTGAAACCCTTGAATTTTTTTTTCGGTTTAGTTCAAATGTGCATTTATTTGTTAGCGATGTAGCTTTCACCTGGTCACGGCCCAAACGCTAATTCTAGAGCCTAGGCGCCAATGCTCTTTGTCTCTATCTTTGTTATGATCATGGTCCAAATGCTCTGCATCACAGCCTAGCTAGCTGGGCGCAGCTGCTCTTTGTTTTGTGATCTCTGTTTTCTCATCACAGAATGATTTTCCCATGGTTCTCTCATCCCTAATCAGGCTTTGCAAAGTGGCCATAATTGCTTGGTCTTTATAGCAAAATATTCCTACAGATGAATAACATTAAAATTATAAGAAACTAACTAGAAATATGATCACAAAATATGCATATTGAACCATGATGTGCAACCAGGCCAGAAAAGAAATGTACATTTTTCTATCTTGCGTGTCCAAGATATGCCCAAATTAATGTATCAAAGAGTGTATGAAACTCAGAAATATGTTGAAATGACATGAAATCTTAGAGATATACAAGGTCATTGGCTCAATTTGAAATTAAATTAAGAGAACTACGTCCACTCGAAGTTGATCTTTGTACTGTCTTTCTTAAACTCAAGTTTCCTTCAGCAAAACTCGAGTTATGATCTTTGTCCGTGCTTCTTGTGTGTAAAACTCGAGTTCCCTCGTTAAAACCTGAGTTTTCTTCTCTGTGATGTACTTTGTTATACTCTATTTTCGTTTCTTTTCTTTTTCCTTTTTTCCATTTCGCTCTGGCGATCCAATATAATCCTTCTTATTTCAATAAGTGTGACTTACAATTCCCTTTTCAATGTTTTTCCCTTAATGAAAACACATGACTCACTTATATACTGTGGATTAAATTATAAAGAACAACTTGTCGAACTCAATAAAAGCTTGAGCTCTTACGACGGCCAGTTCAATTGTTAGTTTCTTTTGAGTAACGTAGAGTTAATTATGTTTAAGGGCTAGTTAACATTCTCCATGTATAAATAACGAATCATTTATGTTGAAAGAGTGAGATGAACTTCTAAAACTATTACAACTATTCAATTGCTCTAAAACTTCAGCTGAAACATTCTCGACTACCCTTAGCTTCAATATATGTATCAACCCATTAAGTGAGGAAATCTCTATCCGACCACTGCGATGATAATCATTTTTATGTACTTTGAGTAAGATGTGTGAGAATTTTGAGTGGGTTTCTTGATTACCCATGTAGGGGGGGTGATTACAGTCTTGAGAACTCTAAAACTATTGTATTGTTGCTTCATAAGTGTTTGTGTTGAATTTGTGGAAATAGTGGCTGAAAATCTCCGGACATTCGTAGAGATTGGACGTAGGTCATGCAGATTAAACCGAACTAGGATAAGTCTACTGTTATGCATTGCCCTTCTTCATCTTTACTCTATGCTTTTAGTTATCCTTGCTTTGGACGCTCTTTTCAACTCATTCGGTGTGTACACTTAAAGTGGAAAAATTTTGTATCACTCAATTCACTCTCCTTGTAGGTAAACGGACTACTAAAACAGAGTACTTAAGAATTAACAATATTGATAAGTGAATAAACAACTATAAATATATATATAACAATCAATGTGCATTGGAAGGTTAAATTAAACTTCAATAATTTTAAATGAACATAATAAAGTATATGTAATAGAAACGTAGATAATTAAAATACTAAGCTGTAGGTTGTTTAACTACTTCACCCAAGAAACAAATCGTCAGATTGTCAATATGAACGCATGTGTGAACGCATAATAAATTAGTTATTGCCAGTCTGCTTTTTGCCAATTAATTAAACATGGGAATAAGACAATATGGGCAAGAACGTCCAAGAGCAACTAAGGCGTCCTGTCTTATTATAATAAATAAAAAATTAATTCATTAAAATAAATTATCAACAATTAAACAAGGTGCGGTCATTGATCAGAATTTGTTTTTAGACTAAGTGAAAGTGAACCCTATTGTTTTAAAAATTGAAATAAACCTACCTCTTTGGTATTGATGAATTTTGGAAGTGCTTGCGTAGGGTATTACAGGCTTTGCACTGTAAAGAATAATTTATCGGAGAAATTAGGATTAAGAACTTACTGACAAACATACTTTAAAAATTAGAACTTGAATTACAAAACATGGAAGGAAAAAATGCTTGCAGACGATCGATGGAAGGAAAAAAAATACAGAACACTAAAGATAAACTGTAGATTTTTTGCCTAGGCCTTTTTTTTAAAAAAAAATTTGTATGCCAATTTTAATCCCTATTTTCCCTAATTTATTGGAATTAACTTTAGGGTTTTCTTCTATAATTTATTGATACATTCTTGTGATAACATTATAAAAGAATTGACCATATATAAAAAATAGTCATATATTTTCCTCACATCATTCGAAGGATGAAGAACAAGGTTACAGACTCCGCAAGTTTAGATTGCCCCCCAAAACTACGTTTTCTTAGCAGAACGCAAATAAGTGCTTCTGTGTTCGCAAAATGCTTGTATTTAAAGGTAAAACGACCCCAAAAACTTTATACAGATTTTGTTATATATATTGATTGGTTGGTTGGCTATATTCATATGTACAAGTCAATTTGTTAAAGTTAACATGGGAATTAATAGTTTTTTTTTTTATAATTACTCAATCAAATCAGTAAATATTAATAATAAACATGAATCCATGAAATTATAGCTCCTTTTTTTTGCCATATGTGAGTAGATTTTATAATTGCATTTTTTTCCTCGCGGTTTTAACGTTCTTTATTTTCATTTAAAAAAAATTCAAAAGCCTGTGCAGTGTACGGAGGTTTATTACAGTTTACTTCTAAACTTGGCAAGAAAATTCAGGTGAAAAAATTGGCAAGAAAAAGAGAACAATGCTAGCGTAGCAAATTGTTCTCTTTTAGCATAATTTCATAAATTGCTGAAGCGGCCGGATTGTAAACGGACATGTTAACTATTGAACCGTTGGACCTTAGTTAAAGCTTCTTAATTAAGCAATGCTTGTTGCAAAATTATTGATATTATGAACTTCAATGTAGCTTGTTTCTTTTCCAGCATGCTTGTTGTGATGGTATATTGTATGATCCCACAAATAGCACATGCCTTGTTGATGCATCTTATAATACACACACACACATTTGGATAGTGGAGGTTAAGCATCTTATAATTACTTGTATAATTGTATCTTGTATATAATACACGCACACACACACACACACACACACTTCTATATATATATATATATATATATTAATGTAGTATTGTGTGTGATTGTGGTTTGCATATATCACATCACATAGCTCCCGGCCACTCGTCATCTTCATTGAAAGCCTTCTTCCTGTTTTTTTTTTTTTTAATTGCTCAGCTATGAGCCTTTTATTATTATTATTATTCCAAGCCTTCGAGACTAAGTATTCAAGGGGCATCGTTCACCAAAAAGCGTCTCTCATTAGAACTTCCCAAAAAACCTGTTTCTTCGTCTTCTTCTTCCTCCCACTATTCTTCTGTGAGTTCCTCCGGCTTGTCCACCATATAAGCACTCTTTATTTTGATTTTGTATTTTTGTTTCTTTTTTTTTTTTCAGGTTATATGTGTGGTTTTGGAACAAATTATTTTCCGATTACTTTAATTAAGAATGGTGTCTTTCTTTTTCTTTTGATGAATTTTTGTAGCTTTACAGATTTGTTGGAGGCCAAGTAGCCAAGAAACCCTAGAGCAATGGGGAAAAGGAAGATTGCGATTGAGAGGATTGATGATATACCGAACAGGCAAGTCACTTTCTCAAAGAGACGAAGTGGTTTGGTCAAGAAGGCAAGGGAGCTTGCGATCCTCTGTGACGTACAAGTTGGGGTCATCGTCTTCTCTAGCACTGACAAGCTCTATGAATATGGTAGCCCCAGGTGCGTGGGTATATATTACCTCTGATTCTTAATATGAGATCTACTTTATTGTTCAATAGTATATATTGTTCCCGGCTTCATTTACTTTGTTTTCTTAAAAGAGGCTCAGCTCACAGAATTTTCTTTGCGCTTCTCTCTTTTCATATGCTCATATAATATACCTCTAGATCTCGCTTCTTTTTAACATAAAACTTTCAAAGTTTTTGCATATATTCAAGTGTCTTATGCGATCTTGTGATTGAGTCTTTAGTTTTTCCCTCTTTTTTTTGGTTGTTATTCTGTTTCTCCTCTTATATATTCTTGCTTAGGCTTGAGAAATGAGATATATATATATATATATATTATATTTATATCAATATGCCTCTGTGTTATTTTCAGAATTACTTTCTGTGAATCATGATGTTATCAGTGACAGACTTGATCTTTGACGCTTTTTTTTCTCCTTTTCTCCTACCTTTTTTCTTTCTATCGTTGGTCACTCTCAATCTAAGCCAGTAATATTCTTTGTATTGAAACTTTATGTAAGATACTTATGTTCTAGCATTCATAATGCATGGATATAGATGCACAAAACTATACAAACACATGCACGATATATCTCTTATATATAACTAAATGTAGAAAATTAAACAATTGGTCCTAATAATTCTGACTCGATTAGAACTCAACATTTGAACTTTGACCCAGTATAATTGAATTCTTATAATTTTATTTGTTTAAGAGAGTTCAAATTATTGGAAGGGTTTGGGGGTAGTGGAAACATGGAATAGGTTAGTATTAACAAAGGTAGGTTTAATTATATTTGGTTTCATTTGATAGGTTGGATTGAGTTTAACTAAATGTATGGTCTAAATAACATGTAACATTTGCAGTACAAATAACCTTTACAAATAGGCAGTGATTATTGTACAGTTGAAATTTAATAAAGATTTATATTTTATAACATGAACCATATATCTAACTAGACAGAAGTAAGACCTTGGAGAAACTGGGGAGAAATCCCTCATCAGAACAACTCATAAATACAATTGAAATAATGGTGTGACTCTAAAATTACAGAGAAACGTGCGATGTAAATCTAAAATTGGAAAAATTGGGAGAAACCCCTCACTGAAAATTTTATTAATGAGAAAAATGACCTAAATAAGAAGAGTTTTGTTATTCTATAGTACCAATACTTTTTGTATATGAAAAATTTATCAGGTCCGAATCATCAATAAAATTTTAATGGGTTTTTTCCCCCAATTTTCCCTTATAAAAGTACCAATTGCAATCCGTCCAACTCTGAGGTAATTATTTATAAAATTATCACAGCTTATTTAATTAATCATGTGAAAATTTATAAAATGGATAATTTCAAATTCAAAAACATTATTCTGGATAAACCAACTAGCTTCTAGGAGTCATATTGAGCTTTAACTAGTTCAGACCGAGTTCGGTTAATGAGCCATATGAATGGATATAAAGTTATCCCAACAAACAATTTTTTCATACACGATCTTTAACTTGACACTCAGTCTTTTCGTATGAGGAAAATCGTAGGAAGAAGGATGGAAGAAAATTTTTAATAAGTTTGATTTGAAATAATTAAAAAATTAGGGTTATAAAATTTTAATAAAAAAAAGATGTAAGAGTAAAAAAATTTTTAACTCCACTTCTCCAATTTGCTTTTTAAATCGAGCTTAAAATTTTTGTTGAATAAGTCATAAACTTGCATTTTTTCATACAACTCAAAGTACTCTCAAGTCATAAATTCGCTTTTTTGTTTTATATAACTTACAGGAGAAAGACTGCTTACCATCTCAACCAACAGCTTATTAGTCATAAACTTGCATTTTAAATCAAACTAACAAAGATGGGCAACACCATATCGGCAAAAAAAAAACACACACACACACAAAAGAAGATATATCCCATATTTTCATGAATATAATTTACATGGATAAAAGCTTGATTTTCATCTTATTGATGGAATTCTCTGCTTATAGCAGCATGAAGTCAATTATTGAGCGCTACAACAAAAACACAGAGGAACATCATTTGGTTATGAATCCAGCTATAGAAGCCAAGGTATGAGACCAAATACCATTACTAAAATAATTTTTTAAAGTTTTCTGCATATACAAGTCATGCTTAATTACAGGACATTCATAAATCCAAAATCCCCTAAGGGCCTAAATGAAGGAGCTAGATAATAAATTTACTGAGACTAAGAAAATTAATTAAATTAGTTATTTCTAATAAATATATATATTGTTTTTCTAAAAATATTCATTTTAATTGTTTGAATTCGAAGCTACCCTTGTTGATGAAAATCCATTTTATTATGCGCAATTAAGAGGATTGTCTCAGGAAAAACTACATATAAAATTAAAATAAACCTCTCAACTAGTTCCTACCTTTAGAACTAGAAAGAGTATATAATTTGTATAAAATGAATATATAATTCGATTCATTAGTATGTGTTTGTGCGTACTTGCACTTGTCAGCGTTATATTTCACTCCAAGCAAGATCATACAAAGAAAAAAAGGGGAAAACAATTCTAACTTGGGGAACACCTGCTCAGGCAGGGGGGAAAAATACAAGACTCGAGCTCACAAAAAAAAAAACCAAGTCACGATATTTATATATATATATATATATTTATAGTCTAATGATAAAGGGCAGATGGAAGAAAAGGTGAAGAACCGCATTCTATTTATTGATTCCATGTTACGCATCAATAGTCATAAGCCTTACACATATATACATACGGATGTATATGCATATAGAGAGAGAGAGACACAGACACACACACACTTCTCTCCGGTAACCATATGCAACAGAATTTATAAACGAACATAACTATCACTACGTACTCTCAACAGCCTCTCTTGTACATGATCACAAAATTGTTGGCGGGAATGGTTCTCTGAAGAGTAGATGAAGAAGAAAGTGGTGCACGATGTCTTCAAGGCGTGGGCAGTACTTTCCTTTAGGCTTAATTCGCCCCCACCTATTCCTATCTTATAAAGTACAAATTGGGATGCCCGGCGAATTTCCTTCAGGATATAATGAAGACCCTTGAATATGGATTGCACTTCCAAAATTCAAGCAAAGACAACAATGGCCTTTACAAAGTGATAATTTGATTCTATCTCTGTGTGCACTCAAAGACAAAGGCAATGAGTTTAATCTTAGTGTTTGTGTTGTGTTGTATGCAAATGAAGTGATGGTGAAGGGTTTATTTAGACTATAGAATGATGCCTTGAAAAGATACCTTTTGGAATAATACCTTATTAAATAAAATGTCACAACCATATGTTGGTTCATGAACCAACATAATTTAAATAAATACAATGAATTTAGTATGTAGGTTCATTTAATGTTTTAACTTCCAGCATAACTCTTCATATAAATATATTAATTTATATGAAGACATAACCTCCCATATAAATTTATTAATTTAATAAATTTATATAAGGACATGACTTTTCAAAAACACATCTCTTTATTTTAAAAATATTCCAACAATCCCCCACTATTTTTAAAATGAACCCAAACTCTTATCACTTCGGAAATCTCATGTTTTCAGTAAAGGTATCTCAAGGATTTGAACCTTTACCTAAGCAAGACATGGTTTTACCCATCTGAAATAATATGGTAGACTAAGCTTTGAACCAATTATCCCATATGAACAAGTATGCATGACTCACGCATTGGATCTCGGACCACTGTATGCCACTTAAAATGACACGTTTATGGCCTTTTGTCAGTATTCTTTTCATGAAGAGTTTTCAGAGTCAAGCCCTTAGACTCCTAGAAGTGGCCCCACTTCACTCTCATGTAGATAGACTCCATCAAGAGCACCACCATGATTAACGCTCCATCAAATATATGCTTATAGCTCCATTAAGAGCCAAATTAAAGCTCAACCTTTCCCTTTTTAAATCTCATGGTTACGAAGCACTTTTCAACCTTGGGATATATAAACATGTCAAGTACTTATAATCACTCTAATAACATACTTTCACCATTGAACTCCAGACTTGATATGATGGTCAAGTGTAAGTTGGGTTTCCACTATTAGTGATCAAGGTTTATAGGGCTTCAATCCCATCCCCTTTAATGTTTTCAACATCATTTCCCTTGCTAAGCCTTTTGTCAAAGGATTTGCAAGATTTAATTCAAATCTTATATAACTTATGGAGATTACTCCATTCATAATCAGATCCTTCACAGAACTATGTCTCAACCCAATATGTCATGATTTCCCAATATGTCATGACCTCACATAACTATGATTTCATAGACTAACTATCACAATGGATAGATATTGGTGCCATTGGCTTAGGCCATATAGGAATTCCAAGTAAGAAGTTTCTAAACCACTCCGCTTCCTTGCTACTTGCAACCAATGCTATAAACTCAGAGTCTGTGGTAGAGTCTGCAATACAGTTTGTTTCTTAGATCCCCAAGAAACAGCACCCCTACCTAAAGTGAAGACCCATCCACTTGTGGAAGCATGATCCTCTGAGTAATCTATCGAATTGGCATCTGTATATCCTTACAAAATTGAAGGATTACCACTATAAGTCAAACTATAGTTGACTATTCCTTTCAAGTACCTTAGCACTTTATCCATAACATGCCAGTGATTTTGACTTGGATTGCTTGTGTATCTACTTAACCTTCCCATACCATATGCTATATCTGGTCTTGTACATGTCATAGCATACATCAAGCATCCAATTACCTTTAAATAATCATGTTGTCTCATAGGACAACCTTTATTTGATACTATTTGGTACTAATTTCATACTGAAATCAAACAGAGTAGAAACAGGACAACAATCAAAATAATTAAAGTACTTCTTTAATATCTTCTCAGTATAATGAGATTGTGAAAGACCAAGACAATTATTATCCCTAATAATCTTGATTCATAGTATGACATCTGCTTGTCCCATATCTTTCATGTCAAAATTTTTAGACAAAATTTTCTTTGTTTGATTTACTTCATTCGAATCAGTGCCAAAAATTAACATATCATCTACATACAAACAAATCATGGCACCTTTCCCATTATGAAACTTACTATAAACACATTTGTCAAATTCATTGATTTTATATCCATTTGCTAAAACTACCTCATCAAAATTTTTATGCCATTGCTTAGGGGCTTGCTTAAGTCCATAAAGAGACTTAATGAACTTACACACCTTGTGTTCTTGACCAGGGACCACAAATCCTTTTGGTTGTGTCATATACACCTCTTCTTCCAACTCTCCATTAAGAAAAGCTGTTTTAACATCTATTTGATGGATAACAAGATTGTATGTGGAAGCAAATGCTATTAGCACTTTGATTGTGGAAATCCTTACAACCGATGCATATGTATCAAAATAGTCTATTCCTTCCTTTTGTGTAAAGCCCTTAGCAACCAACCTAGCTTTAAACCTATCTATAGATCCATCTACTTTTAATTTCTTTTTGAAAATCCATTTACAACCAATAGGTTTAGAACCTGATAGGAGGTCTACTAAATTCCAAGTTTTATTTCCTATTATTGAATCCATTTCATCTTGTATATTCTCTTTCCAAAAAGCTGCATCTTGAGACTTCATAGCCTCCTCAAATGTTTCGGGAGCATTTTCTAAATTAAAACAAACATATGAACAATTTTCAATTTCTTTCCTTGACCCCTCAACAAGAAACATGAAAAAATCTGAACTATAAGTTTTTGCTTTCCTGGCCTTTTTACTTCTTCTAAGTTCTATTTCTTCTAAGTCATTGCCACTCAATACATTCTTCTCTTGATTTGTTTTCTCATTGCATCCCCAAATTCTAAAATAATTGAGATTGGGTTTTCTTTTCTTTCATAATTCATATGGGGTTATCTTGTTCCTTTTTTAGGAACTCTATTTAATATATAACATGCAGTTAGCAATGCTTCACCCCAATATCCATTAGACAAACCAAAGTAAGATAACATGGCATTCACCATCTCAACTAAAACTCTATTTTTTCTTTTAGCTATACCATTTTGTTGTGGGGAATAAGGAGCAGTTACTTGATGTATTATCCCAACAGACTCAAAATATTTTGGATCAAAATATTCTCCCCCTCTATCAGTCCTTAAACATTTAATTAAAGTTTCACATTGAAGTTCTACTTCAGTTTTAAAGATCTTAAATTTGTCTAAGACTTCATCCTTTGAGTGCATTAAATAGACATAGCAATATCTAATGTAATCATCAATGAAAGTCACAAAATACTTTTTGCCACCCAAAGTAGGCCAACCATGCAAATCACAAATATCATAATGAATCAATTCTAATATTTTAGAACTTCTTTCTACTCTAGGAAAATGTTTCTTGTTATTTTAGTCAACATGCAAGTAGTGCAAGAGTCATGATTAATAACAGCCTTTAGAATTAATTTAAGTTTCATCATATCATTCATTTTGCCAAAATTAACATGACCCAAACAATAATGCTATAAATCACAAGAGTCAACAATAAAAGTACAACTGTAAATACTATTATTAACTTTAGCAACATTACATTTAAACATGTTGTCATAAAAATAACCCTGGCCCATAGATATTCCACCCTTGGTGAGAACAAACTTGTCTCCCTCAAATATAAACTTAAACCCAAACTTATTAAGTAAAGGTATAGAAATTAAATTTTCTTAACTTCCAGTACATAATAGACATCTCTTAAAGTAAGAGTTTTCCCAGAAGTGAATTCAATTTTCACGATCCCTTTGCCTTTGACTTGGACAGTTGAAACATTTCCCATATAAAGTACATCCCCATCTTCCTCCTTCAATGTTTTGAAGAAGTTCTTGTTTTTGCATACATGACGTGTGGCACCAGAGTCCACCCACTATGATTCATCATTATCAACTAGGTGGATTTCAGAAATTACCGCCACAAAATTGTCTTCTTTTACAGATGACTTGCTTTCTTTCTCTTTCTTCTTTTTGAAGAAATGACAACTTTCCACAAAAGAAGCAATTACCTTTCTTTTTCTTATTCTTGTGACCATCCTATGCTTGGGGTTTGTCTTTATCCTTCCCTCTTTTCTTTGAGGTCTTGTTGAACTGTCCTTCCTCCACCACATGTACCTTCTCTTGAGTATTGGCTTCCTTTTCAGCATCTTGCTTTCTATATTCCTCTTCTAAACGAAGATAATTTCCCAATTGTTTAAGAGAGATATCTTCCTTTTTATGTTTGAGACTCTTTTTGAAGTCTTTCTATGAAGGAGAAAGCTTGTCTATGATTGAAGAGACAGTAATGGACTCATCCATATGCATTATATGTTGATTGAAATTATTCAAAATATGTTCAATTTCATGCATTTGCTCCATGATAGACTTTCCATCAACCATCTTATAACTATTGAAATGAGTGACAAGAAATTTCTTACTTTTAGCATCCTTTTGCATGTACCTTGCCTCAAGTTTGTCCCAAAGATCCTTTGCAGAGGTTGTATCTTGATAAACATCAAAGAGAGCATCACAGAGGCTGTTGAGGATATGTCTAGTGTAGATGTAGTCATCATTCTCCCATTTCTGTCTCTCTGTGATTTCAGCAATAGTTTCATCCTCCTTCTCTTGAGGCTTGGGAGTGTTGAGAACATAGGCCATGTTCAAAGTTGTAAGAAGAAATTTCATCTTCCTCTGCCATCTCAAAAAGTTGCCTCCTTCAAATCTCTCCAACTTCACAAAATTTTTAGTCAACTCCTTTAAAGAAGCCATTTGTGCTTACGAAATTAAGCCTAAAGACTGTTGGCGGGAATGGTTTTCTAGAGAGTAGAAGAAGAAGAGATGAAGAAGAAAGTGGTGCACGATGTCTTCAAGGCATGGGCAGCACTTTTCTTTAGGCTTAATTCGCCCCTACCTATTCCTATCCTATAGGGTACAAGTTGGGATGCCTGGCGAATTTCCTTTAGGATACAATGAAGACCCTTGAATATGAATTGCACTTTCAAAATTCAAGCAAAGACAACAATGACCTTTACAAAATGATAATTTGACTCTATTTCTGCGTGCACTCAAAGACAAAGGCAATGAGTTTGATCTTAGTGTTTTTGTTGTGTTGTATGCAAGTGAAGTGATGGTGAAGGGTTTATATAAACTATGGAATCATGCCTTGAAGAGATACCTTTTGGAATAATACCTTATTAAATAAAAAGTCATAGCCATATGTTGGTTCATGAACCAACATAATTTAAATAAATACAATGAATTTAGTATGTAGGTTCATTTAATGTTTTAACTTCCTACATAACCCTTCATACAAATATATTAATTTATATGAAGACATGACCCCTCATATAAATTTATTAATTTAATAAATTTATATAAGGACATGACTTTTCAGAAACATGTCTCTTTATTTTAAACATATTCCAACAAAAATCTTGTGCATGTGATTGTAAAATTTCTCACAACAGCTAGCTAAACTATAACCTGCTTGCTTCATGGGAATTCAATCTATGAAACGTCCTTCCGAACGCCCTATTATTTCCAGAAATTATGGGATCCATGTACAGCAAATCAAGGCAATAGTTTTCTCAACAAAAGGAAAATATGTAAGTGGACAATGTGATATTCCATTATGCATGGCTAGTTAGAAGAATCATCTTCATGCTTATGAGATAGAGATTCATTCCTTCTTCCTTACATATTCAATATCACATTTTTATATATGCTATATTATTTATTAGACACACACACACACACACATATATATATATATATATCTGTTGTTGCACTTGGTAGTTTTGGCAAAGGGAGGCAACGGTCTTGAGGCAAGAACTTCAACAGTTGCAGGAATTGCACAGGTATAATAAGAAAAACCAAATATTTTGGAACCAGAATTATTATATTCTGGTAACACAATGTTGATCTCAACATAAAAAAAAATGCAAAATAACTAGCCGCAGTTCAACACACTACTTCTGATCTGAACCCACTCAATTAGTAATAAACCCCAAGTAATTGATTTCCTTTTGGAAAGTGCAGGCAATTGACGGGTGAACAACTTTCTGGTTTGGGCATTAACGAAGTGAACAACTTGGAAAATCAACTGGAGATGAGTTTAAAACGTGTCCAGATCAGAAAGGTATGATAATTCAGTTCAACTCAGATCTTCGTTCAGTTTAACATCTCCCAATCTTACAGAACTAGTAGTGTACTTGAACATTGAGTTGTCCGCAGGATCAAATTTTAACTGATGAGATTAAAGAGCTACAACAAAAGGTATTCAAGAAATACTGTTTCTGATCTTGCCACGTATATATGATCAAAGGTATTCCCACAAATTCTGACTAATTTATTGATGCTATTGCAGGGAAATCAAATTAGTCAGGAAAATGTTGAATTTTATCAAAGGATACAAGTCATTAGTAAAGAAAATGAAGAGCTAAGAAAGGTATTTTAAGTTGATGAAAAAAAACATGTTATCGAATTCGATCATTTATTCATCTTTTCATTCATGTAATTTACTCCTCTTTCCCAAGCATGCATATACCCACCCGCACGCACGCACGCACATATGCATATACAATCAACAAGCTTGCGCTCAATTACCATCTATTGTGCCTTTGCTGTTGAATAATAACGAATTATTAGTCGCCATAAGTCCATTTTAAAATAAACTGAATTAATACAATACAGTATATGATCTGGGTCATATATATTCACTTTAGGGAGCCTCTAAATAATCCTAAGTAACCAAGTATGCAGAATATAAAAGTTGACTTGGAAAAGGATTGATTTTCTTTTTAACTAACTGTTTTGCAAAAACTAAAAGATACAAATGGGTCAAAATATTTTTGGGTTTTGGTATATAAAAATGGCATTAGTGAAATGAAATATGAAAATTAACAAGTCATAAGAATGAGATGGTGATTCTCTAGCACAAATGATTTAGACTGTTATTACCTCAATTAATTTAGAAGTTAGCTAACTTCAAAAGATTACAAAAACCACTCAATTGAATTAGAATGATTAAAATCAAGATACCTTGTAAATTAATTATTCACAATTAAACTGTTTTAATACAAATTAGCAAAACAGAATCAAAGAAATACATTCAAACTCATAATCCAATAACCAAGCCATGTTGAATTACTACAAAATATTCTCAATAATCTCATTAACTACCACCAGAAGAATGCAATCAAGATTAAAGATGCTAACAACCCAATGTCAGACTACAATTCAAAGGTTGAGAAGCTGTACATCCAAACTCCAATATATACACTACATCCAAACATTATAAAGCTCATCCTAAGACCTGGAAATCATTAATACAGTGAAAGGCATGAAGAACGGAAAAGCTGAAACTCCCCTTTAAGCTCAAGCCCAAGCCATCACTATGCTCTAGTGGATTGAAGAATTTAGCTACTCCTAACCATCGCCACAACTCCAGTTCGATTCAGCCATGTGAAAATGTAGAGTGAGATGTGAAATTGATGAAGAGTGAAGGAGAATGGCGGATTGAAGGAAAGAAGACGAGAGTATGGATGAGGAAGATGATAGTGCTGGCCGACTGGTTCTGCAGGTTTTCACTCTGAAAAACGAAGCTGGAGGCCGCGATTTGGAGGTAAGAGTGAGTGGGATGAAGTCGAGTGTTGGTGAAGGGAGAAGATGAAGATGGATGACTGGTTTTGAGATAGAAGTTGCGAAGAAGATGAAGATGAATATGGGGGATTACCTTGCGTTTTCCCCTTTTTCACTCTATGCTTGGCCAAATGGATTTGAGAGAGTTGAGATTTTTAGATTAGGCCATGTTTGGTTAAGAGAATAGTTAGCTAAAGGGGTGTTTGGTAATGGGCGCAAGGGAATTGAAAAGAAATTGCAACCCTCTGTTGAATGAAAAGTCCATAGAATTTTTGCTCTGCTAGAAGCTCTTTTGCTTTTTAGCATAACGTGATTTAACTTGCTCAAACCTCTAATGATCACCTGAAAAATAATTTAACCAAATGTATAATCATATAATTTCAAGAAAAAAATTATTTATGAATTAAAAATCACATAATTATCATCAATTAATAGCTATTAAGCGCATGATTCCTAAAATGCCATTAGCACCCAATTGAGCCAAATAATAATGATGACCTAAAACTCACAAAATAAACCATGAAGACACAAATAAAATATGGCTTCGTCAGCTATATTTATATATGTTTAAAAGCTAAATATTTTCAATTTCAAGTTTTCTTTCAAAATTTAAATGAAGTTTTATTTTTTTTTTCTGAATTAGATCTGTGAATCAAGGGTTACGAATGAAGAAAATGAGAGTTTCAATCCTCCACACACTACCAATCTGCAGCTGTGCCAGCCACAATGTCAACCTAGTGAGCCACCAACCGAAGGAATAGAACTGGGGTATATTACTCCTTCAAACTCGTGAATAAACATTATTAAATATTTGTGTGAATATAGATATGTTGTTCCTTGCTTGAAATTACAACTAAATCCTTATTCCTATCACAGATTACAGCTTTTTGGCCACATTTGATATGGGAAGATCATCAAGTTTTCTATGGGGGACATGTTTCGATTCAACAAGGATCAGACACATTTGATGTTCCATCAGGAATCACTCCAATTATATGAATCAGACCTATTGGGTATATCTTTGTTAAGTCATAGATAATAAGGCCATCAAATGCGTCTAGATCGATCTGTGTTATGATGAAATGGATACAGTTTGGACACGGAAATCTTCGTTTGTATTATCTTTGGCGAAATAACCATCAAAATTAAACTGCTCTTACTCTCTTTGTTTTCTATCCTTCTTAATATTTGATGGACAGAGAAAATTTGATTCCAGTTTTTTTTTTCTTTTTTGCAGCTCACATTTCTGAGTGCCTTTATATTTTTTTTAATCTATTTATGTCAAAAGGTATCAGTAATTCAATGAAGAAGCAAAATAAGGCTATTTTTTTGTGGACTCAAACACCTGATTAACTTAAAGTACTATGTGACTTTTCTTACAAGAACACAGTAAAAATCGTGCAAGAAGAGAAAACAAAAACTATAGGTTAAATTATGGATCAAAAGTTTTTTTTTTTTGGGTGCCCAAAACGTATGTTATAAGAAGCTATAGGGACTGAAAAGACAATGAGCTTGAGCCAACCAATTGTGCGCGTTTGTTTCTTTATGGACATGATCAAAAACACTAACCATCCAATCCCCCAGATAAAATCTCCAATTTTCTTATAAGTGAATGATATCATCGAGTCACGGGAGGTTGATCTTATTATATCATTGATTCTAATATAGCCTCAAACCTTCCAAAATGCTAGCAGTTGAAAAATCACGCTCCAAAAGCGCTAGTACGCAGTTGGAGTTGGAGAGTCCTAGGTAAGTAAGATAACCTTCTTATCGGGGGACTCATAATAAGGTGTTAAGAAAGACTCCATTTTCTTTTTTGAAAAATTAATCTTTTAATTCCTCAAAAATGGCATTTTGAGCCCTAGTGAAATTCTTTTTTTCTAACTAGGCCTAGAAAAATTATTTGAAGGTAATGAAGCATCAAAACCAATTAATTTATCCAAAAAGCTCATTTTTAGGTGAAATTTTAAGGAGTTTAATGACAATATAATTACTAAAATTATGCAAAGGCATACCAAAATTAGGGAAAAATTATAGAGTTCTAGTTGGGAGTTTATGAAGTTAATGAGAAATTTTAATTTCCCATAAGTGACGTAAATTATTTTTAAATTTATTTTTGGTAATTTAGGGCCTTTGATAAATCCAATGAAAAATAATTACATTGGCTTGAAAATTTTAAATAGATGATTATATAATGGAAGGAAGTTAATTAAGAAGGAAAATTGTTGAAAAGTGTCTGAATTTTTTTTTTGGTACAGAAAAAAAGTGTCTGAATTGATTTCTGAAAATGAAAATCAGGAGCAATATAAGGGTAAAATGATAAATTCACTACCCTAAGCCCAAAAAGGAAATTGGGCCATGCTCAGGCCCATTTTGTAGAGCCCAAAACGTGCTTAATCTCATCTGCCCGGGGGAAGAAAGTCTGGTCCATTATATTGGGAATAGAAGATGTACAGAAACCCCCCGGGGGGCGAGGGGGTGGGACAAGAATGGATTAGTCCATCTGGGACGGAGTCTGGTCCATTATAGAAACAAACTTGGGATGCTTGTTTTGAGTTGAAGATGATTGAAATCTGGAATTTTGTTGCAGGGGTGTGTTGTTTGACTCTTTTTTTTTTTAATGGTATTTGCCAAGGGTGTTTAAATGCTAAAATGGATAAGCTATGAAGATGTATCCGGTGATGCATGTTGATCGATTTTTAGGAACTGTAACTTGGTGGGATGTTGTGTTGCTCCACTGTTTGATGTCTTAAAATGTTGAGTAAGTACCCATAAGTGGTTTGGTTGATGTGGTAGGAAGCCTGTAAAGAAAAAGACACAAGTTAAATAAGTACACTCACTGGAAGAAGCGAACCATTTAATGCATTTGAGCCTTAGACCAGTTGGTTGTGCGAACAAAATACTAGTCCAAAGAAGCCCAACGTTTGGATGTTACGCGAGATACTAACGGTCTAACAAAACAAAAATGCTGAATAAGTATTCTAGATTGTATGTTAAAACTATCTGTAGAGACACCAATATGATGGTTAAAGCCTTTTTCTTGAGGCTTCAAAATTTTCAAATTTCTAACAGGGGCTGTTCAAAATTTTTAAAGGGTTAATTGATTAAAAGCAAGGGAAGTTGTATAATAAGATAGTTATTAGAAATTTTGATGTTGGAGAGAATGGTGAGTTCGAAAATTGGAAGCTTTAGGTGCTTGGAAATATGCAATTCTATATTTAAGAACTTCAATGCTAAAGGAATTAGTGCCGAAGGAATTTCCAATATTCCCCTGTTTTTGTTCAGCCACTGTTTGGCTAAGAAGGATCTGGAATTTTGCAATTCAAAGCTTAAAAAGTGAATTAGTTGTGCCAAATTGTATAGGGTGAGCATGAGAGAGAAATTACCAGGTAAGAGAATAGATAAGTTACATTAAAAGTTGAAGTAAAAAGGGACAAAGTTATAGAGTTAAACGAAAAGTAAGCAGGTATAAAAAAAAAAAAAGCAAAGTAAGAATTTGGGGCT